CCCAACTGGTCTTAAAATCTAGCCCAGGTAACCCAGTGTGCACAGCAGACTGTTAACACCATGACTATACAATTAAAATCATGTTTTACAAACAGCATCAGGCGAGGACCTCCATAATCTTATAGTTTTCTGGTTTTATGAAGATTAGATTTTGTTAATGTACAATTATGTAATTGCGACAAGATAAGCAAAAAATGTTTTAAAAAAGTTTCAGCTTTGCTCTTTAAAATAAATCAGCATCATTTCGCAAAGTGAAACCTTTGGAAATATCGGTGCTTTTTTCTCCTCATGAAAACATTGATCTGTTTTTTTTTTTTTTTTTTATCTAAGATGGTATCATGTCACATGCTATTTTCAGTACTTGCCACAGAACATGCAATATTTTTCAGTGCTCACCACAAACAGTGGCTACAGTAGTTTCCATGTGTACTGCAGCAGTTCCAGTGCTCACTGCATAATGCTGGCTGCAGAAGCTTCAGTGTTTACTGCAGCAGTTCCAGTGCTCACTGTGTAAAGATGGCGGTGGTTGAAAACCACAAGATGCCAGAACTACAGGCTTTGGAAGGACATTTTCTACAGTTCTACAAATTTGGGCCATGCCGTGCTCTGCAGCTAAGACCTCAAGAAATGGGTCTTTGGTTTGTTCTGCAGCTTTAAACAGAAACATCTTGCTTACAGTAAATGGGTTGGTGTGTCAGCTCAGCTGCTCAGTATTTTAAGCCTGAAGCTAGACAGCAGTAGGTAAATTAAGCCTGTCAGTATTATGTACTGGTCAGCAGTCAATTCAATTGCTTTATTTAAGTTAACTATGCTACAAATCGGTTCACATTTTTCCTAACAAAAAGCAAATCAAATTAGTGCTGTTGTTCTGCGTCTCCTACCAGATTTGTATATATATTTATGTCTTGACACTTTGAATGCAGTTACCAATATTACAATTGGCCTACATTCTTTTTGTCTTTGTAGAAACTGCGCACACTAATTAAAATGAATTCCATTAGTTAAGGAGTGCATCTGAATTCTTTCCCACCTTTGCATGCGGGTTCTCTGCAGACATCCTCCCCGCAACCCAAAGAAATGCTATTCAGGTTAACCCATGGCAGTAAATTGTGTCGGTCTCCTTAGAAAGGGCTGCCATCTTCTGAGACACTTCCCACAGAGGCTCCCAAGACTGTAATCCAAACTGGATGAGTGGTTAATGAAAATGAAAGGACTAAAATGCAAAATATTGGGTATTGGCTGTCGAAATATACAAAGCCTTCTCTGAAAAAGACTTAGGGGTGGCATGGTGGTGCGGTGGTTAGCGCTGTTGCCTCACACCTCTGGGACTAGGGTTTGAGTCTCCACCCGGGTTCCATGTGTGTGGAGTTTGCATGTTCTTCCCATGTTGTCGTGGGGTTTCCTCCGGATACTCCGTTTTCCCCCCACAGTCCAAAGACATGCTGAGGCTAATTGGAGTTACTGAATTGCCCATAGGTGTGCATGTGTGAGTGAATGGTGTGTGAGTGTGCCCTGCGATGGGCTGGCCCCCTGCCCTGGGTTGTTCCCCGCCTCGTGCCCGTAGCTTCCGGGATAAGCTCCGGAACCCCCGCGACCCAGAAGGATAAGCGGTTTGGAAAATGGTTGGATGAAAAAGACTTTGTCTGGATGGCAGTGCATGTTGTTCCAAAACCTCATCATTTGGCATTAATGGTGCCTTCCTAGACGTGCAAGCTACCCAAGCCATGGGCACCAACGCACCCCCATACCACCACAGATGCTGACTTTTGAACTGTCTGCCGATAACAAGCTAGACAGTCCCTCGCCTCTTTAGCCTGGGGGATGCAGCGTCTATAATTTCCAAAAAGAATTCAAAATATTGATTTGTCAGACAATAAGGCAGTTTTCCCACTTTGCCTCAGTCCATCTTAAATGAGCTTGGGCCCAGAGAAGTCGGCGCTGTTTCTGGATCATGTTTTGATATGGTTTCTTCTTCGCATGGTACAGTTTCATCCTGCATTGGTGGATGCAGCAATGAACTGTGTCCACAAACAATGGTTTTCTGAAGTGTTACTGGCCCATTGTCTGTTTTAAATGCAGTGCCAATTAACTTTAGTTGTGAGATATTCAACCAGGTGTTTTAGCATTACCCAACCTTCCAGTCTACTGTTGCCCCCTTCCCCAACATTTTTGAAAGGTGTTGCTGGCATCAAATTCAAGTTGAGCATATATTTGTCATGAAACAATAAAATTTCTGTTTCAACATTTGATATGTTGTTGTTCTATTTTCAGTTAAATATGGCTTTATATGATTTGCAAATCATTGCATTCCATTTTACATATTACAGTGCCCCAACATTTTTGGTTGCAGATTGCTATTCATTTCTAAATATTTCAGTAAGTACACTGCAGAGATGGCAATCAACCACCATGCAAATTCTAAAATGCTATTTTAAAACAAATCACGAATGACCAGCATTACCTGTATTTTGTTGCCAATAAGAAAAACATAAAATAGGAACATGTCATGGTTTGCTCTCCATATGGTAGAATCCTACAAGAGGCAACTGGCAATAAGTGTGTTGAATGACTGGTGCAGAAGGAATGCAATGTGGTAGAGGAAGATCTTGTTTACATTCCTTAATTACAGGAGACCCAACCAAAACAGAGTTCATTAGCGTGCTGCATGAAAGGTGCCCTTTGGGGAAGCTGAAGCAGACTGGAACTGATACAGCCGGGAACCTTCATTCACAATGTGACAAAAATGCCAGTGTTAGAATGCTGAAGACGTGAAGAAACAAGATGCTCATTAGATGTGAGACTAAAGTCAGCACCAGCACAGGTTTGGGATAGATTGTGCTCTTCGTGTAGCAGTTCCAGTTTACTGAGACTAAGCCATACAGCTGCGTCCATTTCAGCATGTGCACAGTGGTCCACTGGGCACAGCAAGCACACTACAGAGGGGAATACATGGGCACATGCTCAGATCAGAGGGTTCTGCATCAACCTCGACATCCTAAGGGCTGTTTCAGTGCCATGAGTGAACCAAGCCTATGATTGGCTTTATGAGGTCTGTTGCCACCATACCATGACTGCAACTGTCATAGCAGGAGACATAAATAACCGAAGTGCCAGATTCAGCAAATTCAGTCATGAATAGAGGAGCCTAACACCCCGCATGAGGCATGTGCCACACATCCCTTTGTGTACGATTGTTCGTCATCGCAAGCTGCCCTGATTATGTCACAGTAACTAGCCGGCAAGCCACAGGAGTCGCTCAGGTCCAGCACCTCAGTTGGATGGTGGGGGCGGAGTAGCAGCTGGCCTTGGGATTCATGCTCTCTGCTCATACCCTTCCCATAGTCTGCTGCTCCCACTCGTGCTCTAAATCCTCTGGTCAAATGCTAGAGAGCTGCAGAATAACTTAAGCCTGGTATTCATATCCTGTCTGTCTGCCCAGGTCAATGTTTATGAACACATCTGATGAGGAAATTACCACATTTTGTCTCACAGTGTACTGAAATACACATAATTCGTTTTAAATACATTAACATTTAGACATAAATGAATCACACGTGTAAACATTTCTGCTAGCACATGAAATCTTCAGGTTTAATTTTCTAACACAGAGACTAATTAGAATGAATCTACATTAGCCTATTTGAGCATTCCAGCCTTATCGCCTCCTGTGCTGCGCCTTCAATACAACCATGAGCACCTATAACGGTACTGGATAAAAACTAAAATCTTAAAGATTTCATATCAATGTCTCAAATTAACCAAAAGCTCTGAAAGGCGGGGACAACGCTTGCACACATAAAATGAGTAACCTACATTCCACTTACTAATTAAAAGTGCACAACCGCTAAACTTCTTAATACCAATTTACGTTATAGTCCTAAATTATACAGCATACGCATGTCTATTAGAGAATACAATATTTTAAAAAAAAAGTGTACATGCACGAAACATAAAGATGTGTTGTACAAAAACAATTATGTATATACAACGGGTGTGCGTAAAACCGCCAATTTTACCCTGTGTGTAATTTGACTACAATTATTGTAATATGAAACACCAGCTTGGCCTTCAGGAGTCATTGCATGTAAATAGCTGTATCTGAATTGGCCTCAGTTGCCATACGAAATTGAATAAAACTATACACTAACGGCAGAAAACCAACGGTGTAAATATAACCAATTATATACTGACGAGCCATCCAGCACAGTAAGTTGTGGTCCAGATGTAGACAAACATGCCAGACTTATAATCACACCGCCAGTGGAGGAATGAGAGACGGACCAAGTCGGCAGCAGTGTCCTCTTTCCACACTCTCCGGTAGTGCCCGTTATAAGTGTGACGTAAGATTAGCTAATTCCAACAGAACATCGGCCCGCGTTCTACCGTTAAACTCAGCGACGTCACAAACGCAGCAGTCATGACGACCATTTCCAAGGTTCACGCCAATACAGTGGAAGCGCCACGTTTACCGAACCGGCTCCTACATTTATAATAATTCCGACACTCACTTTCAGCGTGAACTACGGTGGCTGGCGAGCCTAATGTACAGTAGGTAGCAGGATAACCCTAAAAGTCAATTAAATTCAAACTGCAATTTTCCCTTGTGCAGTATATCTCACCGTCCACGGACAGCTTTTTATTTTGCGGCACTCATATTTGCAGAACTTTAGCCAGTCGGCTTCGTGTTCAAACGCGCGCTGGAATGCGATGCAGCTAATTTTTCACAATATTAATAGCCAGGATGTAGTCGACTAACTGACGTTCTTCAACAAAACCCAGACCCGACTTTTTGTCCCACTCAACGTTTGAAGAGAATGTAATGTGAGATGCAGCGATTATTTACAATTCAGCGATAGATATTTTTCGTCCCTATTATACCTTATAGGTCCAAAATGAGAAATATGTTGTAATACAGTAATACACTGATAAATCATAATCCAGTAGTTAAATTCCAGTGTTAGTCAACTACTGCCACAAGAAAAGATTGCTCGATCGCTTACCCAAAGACGTGAGATCCCCTATGCCCTTGTAATCTTAACAATAATACGCGAAAGATAATATGTTCTCCCAGTAGTCCTCAGCCATGATTCTTCTGGCTTTTACGCTGCTCAGATTCCACTACAGCTGACAGCATGTCTCAGTTGTGTTATCCTGAATTGTTATAACGTTTGAGCAGCGATTTTTCTTTCCCAAATCTGAAGGAGAGGGGGGTGCTTGAGCAGCTGCGAATAGATTCAGGAGTCACTCACTCGGTCAGATCGGAGAGGTGGAGATCATTTAATTATGCAATTGCTTCTGAAACACTGAACCAGGTCACCTCGTATTAATACAGACAAGAAAATCTTTAGAACTGTTTTGTCTAAAAAAGAAGACACGTGTTTTAAAAATCGAACCAACTTTCTATTTTTATTATTTAATTTTAAGATTCCCTGTCCCCCTCATGGGCTACCAGACTCATGCAGTAGTCTGATCCAAATTCCGTTGAAGTAACTGAGGTTGTACCATTACATTGGAGGGACAGGGGAGACTGAGAGGTCAGGCAGATACGTGAAGCTGATCTTCGCAGAGCAATTTTAAAGTGCGTTAATTTTATAGATCTTCAAAGATATTGTTTTGATATATTAAAAAATCAAAATATTATACGGGCAGTTTAAAGAAAATAAATATTATTTACTGAAGACACGTAAATTATGTTTTTGGATTGTGTGGGATTTGTTTTTAGTCTGCCTTTTGTTCTGTGTATAGTTTGAATTCTCTCCATTCGTTACTGTAGAACAGGGTTTTTCTACTTTTCCGAGGAAATTATGGATTATCTATATACCGCATTTGTGCAATGAGGGTGCTACCTTTTCCGTGTCCATTATTTGCCTTTTCAAAAGCCCGTGCTAAATTAGTGGCTGGTATGCCAACATTGCCGTTAATCTTGCCTGCCAATAAACAGTAAAATGTACTCGATATTTTCATAACCCACTTTTACAGTAAATCAGCTAAAAATGCTAAATTAACTCAGGTATCAAAAGCCAAAACATAATAAAAGCAGAAATAATAAGGGAATGACACTATGTAATTTGGCTGAACATTCTTAATACATACATTTGATGAGATATGTTTGTGTGAAATAAATTGTATTTCTGGGTAAAATTAATTTTATGGACCATGAGTCTGCAAATAAATAAATATTCTATTCTATTCTAATTGATAGCAAAATTCAGAGAAAAAATAACACACTTATGAAATGCTATGTTCTTTTGATGCACATCTTAAAATATAAAAAAATAACTAAAGCCATGCTACCATTTTAGAAATCCAGACCAGGGGAGTAATTAGAGATAAATGGATAGGGGGGACTGTGTCTTTACTGGGTGTGGGGGGGGGGGGCTGATGGTAATCTATTTATGAATTAAGGCAATAAATACACCTTTATTTGGGGGAGGCTAAAACATTTCAGGGGAGCAAAAGACCATATAAGTTATTGGTTTTTTTCAGCATAGGAATATTGCAGCAAACCCACCAGTTCCATGGGCTCTGTTATTGAAACCTTGGTTTGTATGATATGTAGCAATACTGAACGAAACAAACACAAGTACTGCAAATTATGCAGTTTATCCACCAAAACGCTTTACATTTACAACACAATTACTGTCTTTCTTTAACAAAATGCTTGATATGGCCGATGGCACAATGGCGACTGCAAATTATATAAACAATGTAGTTTGAAAAACATATTATTGTTACAATTAATACCAGAATTTCCATTCGTTACAAATTGTGTGGCTTTGTGAGCTAAGCCTTTGTGCCTGAAACCAGAAGGTTGCTGATTTGAGCCCCAGCCTCAACAGAACAGTCACACATCAATGGACCCTAAAGCAAGGCCCTTAACCCCCCAGCTCCCTGGACACCACAGGGTGACTGCCCATTAGCTAAGACCCCCAAGGCCACTCTCACTGTGTGTCTGTGTGTTTCATGGAGAGCAAGAAGGGGCAAAGAGAATTTCCTGGGGATTAATTAAGTGTCAATATAAATGTATAGTCCATGTGTGTTGATCAGCTGGCAGAACAGACCAGAACCTGATTATCAACATCAGATCTAAACAGTGGACAAGTGTCAATAAAACAATAACTAATTAAAATTTGGTTTTGTCACAGAAGAAAATGAAAACAGATTTATGTATATTTTTATCCTGACTTGTCAATGAAATTTCTTCATAGGATCAGGTTGGCAGGGGTGGAATGGTTTCGTGTTTTTTAAATAACTCTTTAGGACTTTATATTATTTTATCTGAACAATCGTACTTAAAATCATTCTCTAATCTCAACTGTCATGTACTTCTGCATCCATCCATACATCCATCCATTTCCCAACCACTAATTCTGGGTTGAATCACAGGAACTTTGAACTGGTGCTATTCCTTGGAACAGACCACCAAACTAAGGGACACACCTTGTGTGAGATGTCAATCCATTGCAGGGGACATATACACACACAGTGATACCCTGTGGGCAATTTCAAGACACCAAGTCACCTAACTGCATGTGTTTGTGCCACAGGAGACAACCAAAATAACCAGGACAAACTCATGTGGCACAAGGAGGACTTGCAAAGTGCACGCAGAGCGTTGGTGCGATTTCAAATGAAGGTGCGAGGCAATAGGGTTACCCTCATGCCCTTGTAATGTTTGAATATTGTGTTTTTAAATCATTTTTTTCCTTTTATTTTCTTGCTTATTCTACTGGTATGATATTACATTCTAAGTGTGACCTAAATATACCATTTGCCATTATTTTTATTATAATTTGCCTGTCAGTAAAAGCAGTCTAGTATCAATGTTGTGCTGCTTCTTTTATAAGAGTGAGCATGCACTATTGATACCAGAGGGATCCAGAGTCAAGACTAACCTGGGGCGTTCCAGAAGGTGGAGTAGCCTGCAGACCTGCCTGTATGGTTCAAGGGCACCTTGGCTGTGGTGGAGTAATTCATGCTTGGCTGCATCATGGGTTAGCTGAACAGAATGTAGGTTAGACTCGGCAACCATAAAATATGTAGGGTTTCCAGCCTTTTACACAATCAGCCAGATGTGGTGGTGAAAAACTAAGTACAACCCTAGAAAAAAAAATTGCAACATATTTGCACAGAAAAATATTAGATCTTAATTTCAACAATAGTGATAGAGATGATACAATTGAAAAAAATCAGACTTCAAATTTATATTTAGTGACGGTTTACACAATGAAAATAAAGAATAATTCATATTTCATGTAAGAAAAAAGCACACCCCTACATTTATCACTACATTAAAATAAAAAGAAAATAGCTAAAATAAAATTCACCAAATCAAGTGCAAATGATTAGGTGTCAGGGTAAGCACCTGGTTTGTCCCAGTCTTTCCTGTCTTCCCCCGTTGTCCAAGTCTTCAGTGTTTCCTTTACTCCTTGTCAGCCACATGGCTCAACCTGTCAAGCATGTGGCTACCTGTGAACCCCTCTGTCTTGTGTTTGAATCCTGTCTTCTCTGTTTTTGTATTTTGTTCCTAGTGTTTCATTTGTATCAGTTTATTCCTGTGATTTGTATTCAGTTTTGGTTTCTTGCTTTGTGTCTTAGTTGTGTTTTACTGGTCTTTGTTATTCCCAGTGCTAGATTCTGTTTTCCTTGTGTCTTTGTCAGTTTTTAGTTACCCTGTTTAGTTCCTTGAGTTAATTATTAGTGTCACTTGTTGCCTGTTAAACTAGTCCTTGTTAATTGTTTTCACCTGTCCTGCATTATCCTTGTTAGCCTGTTGTATTTAAGTTCCGGATCCTGTTCTGTTCCTTCAGGAGTCATTAATGTTGTTGAAAGTTCTGTTATTTGTAACCTGCCCGCCCCTTGTTGCACTGACCCTTTGTAAATTAGTCTTTGTTTATCCCTTTTAGTTTTGACTCCTTCTGATCCATTTATTTTATAGTGCCACTAGTGTTTTCTGTTCTGTTAATAAACCCCTGTTTTGTCCTGAGAGCCGCAAGTGGGTAGTCCTCCATCTTGCCTGCACCATGCCTGGTCCCTGTGCCGGAACACCCTGAATCATTGACATTAGGTCATTATTCTACAGTATATTTAAGAATCATTCCTTACATAAACAACTGGTATTGCTTAATCATAACCATTGAGGTACATGGTACCATCACACCAAGATCAAAAGAGCTGCTTGAGACCCCCAGATGGAAGGTTTTTGATGTGCACGAGTCTGGGAAGGGATTTAAATCCATTTCCATGCAATATGAAATAATCCATTCCACTGTTCCTAAAATAATCTACAAATGGAGTAGGTTTCAGACAACTGGCAATCTCTCCAGGCCAGACTGTCCCAGTCCCACCAAATTCAGCCCAAGAGTAGAGTACAAAATGCATCAGGATGACTCAAAGAACCCCAGGATGTCATCAAGGGATCTACAGGCAGCACTTGCCACAGTCTATGTGAAAGAGGCTGCACAAATTTAACCCGCATGGGAGGTCTGCAAGGAAGGAGCCTCTGCTCTCAAAAAAAGCATCAAGGCAAGGTAGAAGGACTCTCTGAAAAATGTCCTCTGGACAGATGAGTCCAGATTGTGTTTGGGCACAATTCCAAATGTCATGTTTGGAGGAAAAACAGCCTTTGAAAAAAAATAATTTCATACCCACTGTGAACTTCATACCCACTGTGGGAGTGTTTCTGTTTGGGGCTGCTTTGCTGCTTCAGGGCCTGGGTGGCTCACCATCACAGAGTCTGTGAAACTGTCTGTCAAAAAACTAGCAGAATGATATTGACCCAAACATACAAGCAAATCTACAAAGGAGTAACTCAAAACAAAGTAATGGAAGGTTATGGAATGGTTAAGTCAAATTAATCCAATTGAAATGTTGGGGGGTTTTACATGTAAGAAACCCCATCCAGCATCATGCAGTAAAGGGGAATCTGCATGAAGGGATGGAAAAAATTCCTCCAGGTTAAGGTAAAGTGTAAAAAGTGATTATTGGTTCTTAGGGACATTTTACTGCAGGAAAAATCTCATTAAGTAGGCTGGCTTTTATAGCAAAATACCCAGCCCCAATACTCTCTGAAGCCTGTGAAGTATTTCCTCAGGCTTTGAATAACAAATCCAGTGGTACTAAGGTCACAGCAAAAATATGCCTGTTTTATTGTGCAATGAATCGGTAGCCAAGAGGCTTAAATAGTACAAACATGAAGCTTGAACTTGATTTCAGAGTGTTATACTCAAAGGCAACCTTCTGTTCACCTGACACA